TGAAAACCAAGCAAATCTTTGCCTGGAATTCGTGTAAAGGAATTAGGACTTTTCTACTCTCCTTTTTTCTGTGTTTTTTTTGTTGTTGTTGTTTTTGGTTTTGTGGGGTTTTTTTTAAATTTATGTGTTACAGAAAGTATCTTTCACAATTTCTGTAGCACAATAAAGACGTGGTTAATCTCATTTAACTTTACCAGTAATTAATTGATTTGTTTAGACCTTCTTGTTTAAGTTTTCCTACTGGGTCCCATTGACGCAGCTTTTTCCACGACAGCCGACTCAGACTGAGCATTTGTAAGACCTGGATTTGAAAGGCACAGAAGGAAATGATTTTGGCACTGCCTCTAAACAGCAGAGGATGTGACGACACTGTGTTTCACACTTGTGAGCTCAGCTGTGTGCTTGTCGTTTGACAGAGAGAACAGCCCGCCCTGGTCACAGCTCTTATCGCTCACTGTTTGTTGTTATAAAAGTTGCCATTAAGCTGGGATATGAGCTGTAGGCTTCTGGGAATGTTTCTTGGCTGATTTATTGAAATTGTTGTTCTTATCCTCAGGTTCTTGCTCTGGCTTTCTTTCTTTTCAGCCCTTTTATTCTTCCCCTCCCACCCCTTATTTGATCTGTTCTTTGTGTTTTCTCTCAAAAATTATTTGTAGGAGGTAGAGCAGTACCAGAGCTGATTCAGAAGATCTATGATTCTGCAACACCCAAGGTCAAAACCAAAACCCAGTGGATATCCTGATTAACTGAACCCTGTGCCCTGGCCCTGGGGCCCTTTCCAGGCTCTAGAAGGAGGAAATTTTCTTCCAAGCCATATACAGCATAGCTTGGCAATACATTTCAGCCTTGTTTAGCCACAGGAGGGACTAACTGTATTCCTAATGCCGAATTTCTCCATGATAGTAGACTCCTTGGTGACTCTCCTTTTGGGAAGCACAAGGTAGATGTGCTCTTTGTTCAAGCTGTTGTCGTTCTTCATGACAATTGCTTTGTATATAGGGCAGAAGGGGAAGATTTGGCTTTGAATAGTAGCTAGGGATGGGTAAATCTTAAAATGTGTGGAGATTCAGTTCAATTTTAATCAACATTCAGATGCTTAGAAGGTACCCTAATTGTGTCCCTTCTTATTTTATAAAGACTTTTTAGTTATATTGTCAATATTTTCCTGATTCAAGTTTCCTCAGATACCTTTTTTTTTCCCCTTTTGATACTGATTTTCCTCAGAGTTCTGTGAGAAGAGATGAATAGTGCAAAAGACTTTCCTGGCAGTAGATTCCTCTTCTACTTGCGGTGCAGCCTGCTTAAATATCATCTAGGCAGTAATGCACGAGACACTTCCAAATCGTTGTATAGGTTTGGGGCTAATGTCAGCACCTCAAGGTGTGCTCAGAAAAACAGCTCATTTGAAAAGCATTTTTCTTGATTTTGAAATTTGTTGAGATTTCATTCTGAGATGAAATGCAAAAGAAAGGCACTTCCCTACAGTAACCAGTAGCCACTTCAATGCAAGTTCAAGTCCTGAGCCTGCTTTATGTAAATAAAACACTGCAGTGTCCTGTATCTGAGCATGCACAATTCTATGGTTTTTAAGCCACTGGCTATTCTGAGGTCTTTACCGGTTGGATGAGATTTCTGTCTTGGTTCTAAGAATTTTTTCCTAAGAAGTATCATACTGAAATGGTCAAGTTTCCCATCAGAAGTTTTAGCTTCAATGAGTCAAAATCTTAAAGTGAAAAATATTTTTTTCTGGAGTTTTCTGACTCTAGTCCAAAACTCTCAGCTGGCTGGCTGGCATTTGTAAATCTGAATTATATCAGAAACATGGCTTATCGATGTGCTGACACCTTATGTTGTATTTGATTCACAGGATGCAGAAGCAAAAAGGTGAAATCTGCATTGATAGAGGTAGTTTAAAGGAGAATAGAACTTAGGTACGATTTTTCCTGATTTGGAGAGAAGATTTAGAAGTCTAGGGGAATATCTAGAATACAAGAAAATTGGTACGGTGATCCTCCAAGGAAAGGAGGTTATCTTTATTGGTAACGGCATAACAGTCTTTATTCCAGCGCAGTGACTGTAGCTCATAGCAAAGAGTTAGATAATGGAAACCTGTTGCAAATTGGGAACTGCCTCTAAAATTAGATTAAAGCTCTCACTTGGTGGTTTTACATATGGTTTGTACCTGTCTGTCTGTGCTTTCAGATGATTCGAGGACCAAGTGTAATTCTGAACAGAGGTGTCAGTGAGAAACGAACCGTGCTCTATTACTCGTCTCTGAAATCTTGAAATTGGCCTTTCATTTTTGTCTAAATCTGTCGCTGCGAGCAGTGGCTGATCAGCAGCACTCAGAGGGGCTGTGTGCGAACATACGGCAGCCCTCCAAAGGCCTGCTCCTGCCCGGAGACCAAAGGAGGTGCAGCCTGAGCGCTCGTTTTGCTCAGAAGATGAGGACTCGGGAGCTTAGAAGTCACAGCATCCCTTGTGCTGCTCCAGGCGTGAGTTATGATCTGCGGGCTTTTTAATGAATAGTGCTTGCTGACTAGTTCTGTCTTGTTTTTTGGGTTTTATTCTTCTCCTGAGTGTTTTTTTTTGTTGTTATTGTTGATATTACTGTCCAAGGGGCTTAGTGCTCTTCAGCACAACAAGGCAGGACCTGCAGTGCTAAGAAAACAGTCATGTCTGGAAGCATGAATTATATTTTTTTTTTCCTCCTTTAGTTTTGAACTGCCATTTTGTTTCAGAGGGAATTAGACTGGGATTTAAATTAGAAGTGAACATAGCAAGCAGGTGTTTGATAAGAGTTATAATGGGCAAAGATAGTTAAACGATGTGGTTTCAGTTATTCAAACAGTACTTTTGAAAATAGTACAAATTTGCTATCTTTGGCTGGAAACATTTTTTTTTTTTGAGGTTGGAGTAAGTGCAGATTTATCCAGTAGCTTGGTGGTTGAAGCATTCATCTGTGATGCAGAAGATATAATTAAAATCTCTGTTCTGAGAAGCTTTGAAACCATATATCCCTACCTTGAATCAGATGCTGAATGCGCTGAATTCAATTTACGCCCAGGTCGGATAAGAAGCTTAATCAAAACAGTTGCAAAATAACTGGCAACTGACTTACAAAATGTCACTTTTTTGCACAGACATATTATCAACACTCAGTTCTGTGGTATTTCTTGAGTCAGTAACGTTGTGGTTTTCCCAGCAATATGGCAACACCCAGTTACGCAGTTATTTCTTGAGTTAGTGATGTTGTGGTTTTTCCAGCAATATGACACTTATATTCTGAGCTCTTTTCTCTGGTCCTTGCCATTGCCTTCTCCATCAAGAAGAACATCTTACAAGCTGACTTGGCTCCCCTCCTTCCAGCTTCTTCACCTGGGACGGTGTGTGTGAGGTAGCAGTGGGTTAATGCAGTATCATCACGTCTGCCCAGATGTGATGCTGCAATACAGCATCGTTCTCTTACCTACCTGTGTGCCTGGGATAATGACAGTGCTTGACACCGTGGTTTCTAAGGTGGGCAAGATGCGCAACAGCAATGCTGTCCAGCTGTATTTATTTATTTAGTCTCAGTTTAGAGCTTCTTTTCAGCTCTAGACAGGCATATCGATGGCAAGGATTTCTTTGAGAAATAAGGACTGGTTAGAAAGAGGATCCTTAAATTCTGACCCAGCTGTGTTTCTTTGAGAGAAACGTCAGAAAATAATGGATCTTTGTGTTGGTTTTCAAAACACCTTTTCCTTTGAGGTAATTGCAATAGTCTTTTAGGAGTGTGCTTGCAATCTCTTCAGGGACATCAGAATTCCTTGTTCTGTCTCTCCTTTCTCCCACCTGGTGGGGTGACATTCACGGCAAAGTTCTCTAAGTATGGCAACTTCTCCATCTCTTCAAAAGCAACCTTAATATAGATAGCTGGAGGGTAACTGTCCATGAGGCAGGAGCTCTCAGCTCTCCTCAGAGGGAGCACACATATCGCATCTTTCCAACCTCGACTCTCAGCCTTGAAATTAAAAGACCAAACACTGGTTTCAGATCTGAGTCTCTTTTTGGTGCGGTGCAGATATCAATGACATCAAGCAATGATATCAAGTGGAAAGAGACTAGAAGTAACACTTTTGAAGCATCTGCATTTTGTTCCTAACTCAAACATTTGCCAGCATCTTGGCTTCAGGTGAATTCACTGTGCCTCTGTTCCTTTTCTTTAAAATAGAAATAATTCTGCTTTTCTGCTTTACAGACTGGGAGGACATGCTATATGAAAGTTTGACATTATTATTTATTTGTGTGTTATTGTTCTGTCTTTTAGTTAAGATGACAGGGCTTTTGTACTGTCCCGTACTACTTGCGCTGTGCTAACAGTACAAATTTGTGCTGTTTCTGTGTTGTATTCTGCTCTCGTATATCCCTGAACAGTGAGAGATAATTGGGACACAATAAAGTGTGCAAGGGAAGAATTGCACAGGGGAGGAAGGGGCAGAGTTTCACATGGTAGATGTTTTGGCATCCAGGGAGAGATGTCCAACCACCTCCAGATGAGCAGTCATTGAGTGCCAGTAGGTATGTTGGAGATGCCGCTATGATTGCTTTCCTGATAGAGCTGGATCTCCTGCATCTGTCATCTGCCTTACTGCCGGTTCAAACACTGATACCTGCCACCTTCCTATTGGACTCAGCTTGAAAGTCAATATGGATAGACAGCTGAAATGGGCCATAACTCTTGTATGGGAAGCATGGGCACCACAACCTCTCGGCATCCCCAAAGGACTCCTCCCTCAAATGGTTTCTCACCTCTTCATTATAAACCTATTTGCTTTATCTAGACGGTTCTGTTTAGATGTGTTACTTTTTTTTTTTTTACTGGTAGTTTCTAATTATGATTTTTCGGGATCACCAAATGTGCATTCACCATCATTAGTGGCTTCTTCTCATGTTATTTGTTTCATGTTCAGGGAATAGAAACCAGATTGCAAAATAATGAGCTACCTTGTGTATTTCAGAAACATACCCCTCGCAATATGCATTTCAATGATTATCGTCACAGTTGGCTATGTGTTAACAAACGTGGCTTATTTCACTACAATCAGTGCTGGGGAATTGCTGCTTTCAAAAGCTGTAGCAGTGGTAAGTTACAGAAGAAAAATACAAAGCTATATCCCTGCTGCAGTTGTGTTTGTTGATATATTCTTATTTCCAGGGGAAAAAAATCGGGGGGACACATCCAATCAGGCTTTTCTATGGCTCCTCTTTCACACCATGTGTTAGCATCCTGGTGAACTTAGTCTGATTTTTGACTGATGAGTGGGATTGCACTTAAAGCCATCGATAGCATTTGTAATGTAATGTTAGATCGTATTTATTGACCTGATATAACAAAGTCAATAGGACATTAATTTTATAGCCAATTCATGATTCTTTGCTAAATTGTAGGCCAAACTCCTGGGAAGCAGGAAACACAGATATTTGTGGAAGTGGGAATTCTGAACTATTTTTTTTGTAGCAAGAAGCAGTAACGCTGTGTCTGCACAATGTGCGTCCCGAGCACTTAGGAAATGGGTTACTGTGAATACTGGAGTTCATCTGGGAAGGAGTTGCAAGGCAGCCTGGCTTGGAAATACTGCTTTGATTGTTCTTGCTGAATGGTGACAATGACACTGATTTTTGTATTTATGGTATCTGACTCGCAATGAGGAAATAAAAATTTCTATTTACTTTCCAGTTGTGACACTGCCTGTGGCTATTTCAATTGACGTGGCATTTAAAAGATGACCAAATTCTGTAGCTCATGGGAGATTTAGAAACGAAACATTTTACAAACCTGAAGAAAATTGTGTATGTCTCCTGTGGTGCCCAAAACTCCAATTAAGACTCTTCTGGTAACCTAGAACAATAAAGTGTGAATGGGTGGACTATACCACTGGGTAGCATCAGCTAAGTAAAATGAAGGCCGTTGTAAAAAAATACTAGGTATGCAGATCAGACCTCGAGTCATTCAGACTGAGTCTTCTCTTTTGGAGTCATAATAGTCTGAACAGAGAGAAATCAGGGCCTGATTCCACCTACACAGCATTGCCTCAACTGACGATCTTCCACACGCAGTCAGGAACAAAGGTGGGGGACCTCATCTGCAGTAGCCTCGGTGACACAAAATAAAAGGTAACAAAGGCACAGCACAACTTTCAGTGAGGGATGTACAAAAGAGGTATAAATAAAGCTTACCATACTGATTAATAATGTGTTAATAAAGTGAAATTGCTTTCATGTTTTATGAAAAGTCACTGTATGTTTCTCTCTCCTCTAACAGACCTTTGCCGAACGACTAATGGGAGACTTTTCTTTAGCTGTACCAGTATTTGTTGCTCTCTCCTGCTTTGGATCTATGAATGGCGGTGTTTTTGCAGTATCCAGGTGAGCATTGCTAATATTCCTGGGAGTGAAGGGCATGGGATATACACTGTGAAAGTAAGGAAGCAAGGAGAAGGAAGAGTAAGATTCGTTCCTGTAGCAGGAAATGAAAAATGACTTTAATTTTTACTAGGTGTGGGGCTTTTTCTCACTTAGCTCCTGTTGAATTTAGTGTCTTCTTCTTAAAACCCTGTTAACGGTTTGGAAATGGATCCCTCTGAGCCTAGCACTTAATTAACGACTGCTTTGTTTCATGCAAAGGAGGGCAATTGGAGAGAAAATATCAACTAATTCCGAACACTAAGCCTAGTGTAAGAGAAGGAGGGAACGCCTTCAGAGATGACTTTGATTTCTGCGTATGGGCTTCTCCTGCTAGTCTTTTCATTCAGAATACCTCAAACAAGCCTAAGAAGTGCCGCTGTGCTCCGTGACTTTCATGAAGCCGCTTTGCCTAGTCGCAGTAATGAGCACATTTAAAGTCTGTCCGCATTTATTTCCCACCAGGATGTTCTTCGTTGCATCCCGCGAGGGTCACCTTCCGGAAATTCTCTCCATGATTCATGTCCGCAAGCACACTCCTCTGCCAGCTGTCATTGTTTTGGTAAATCATACAAACAAATGTTCCTGCACAAGAATTCATATTACAGGCTTGCTCTGGAGGATTCGAGCAGAATTTGGGCACTGCTTGAGTCTCATTTATTAATGTGTACGTGGGCTTTGGGCAAGGCAGAGGACAGTAAAGAGAGGAATGAGATTTGGGAGTTGTTCTTATTCCATCATCTTCTTGCTGTCTTGTAGGTAGCACTTGACTGCCTATCGCTGCAGCCTAATTCATGTCTTATGGCCCTTTATTTCTAAGGACCTGCTAGTGATGAGCTAGTTCCCTTTCAGAGAAACAAATTCCAGTTAAACAAACAAACAAAAAAGGGACTCATTTAACTGAAAGTGCAGCTAAACACCAGCATCTGGGAGCGCCCTAAAGACTCATTATACCACCTTATAGTGAAAAATGCAAACAATTATGCACTAAGATAATGGAAGGGGAACCCTCAGCAGTGCAGTGTAGCAGTGATTAAAAAATGAGAGAATGTGTGTCTGGGCAATAGTCTGTGAATTGTCAAAGGAAAAACACCAGTATTGTAGTGGAAATCCTATTACTGACTTCTAAAATAGCAGCAGAGCTAAACATTGGACATGTGTTTGCGCTGCAGATGAATTTGTACGGTAAAACGTCAGGACAAAATGTCAAAATACTGACCTCAAACCTCGGTTTGCATAGTGCCAAGAAGATTTCCACTTAACTTGCAGTGTTCATAACCGTGGGTGTTCAGCCCCTCTTTTGGGACCAATGACTCTGATGTATCTGGACAGACCTCTGCATCTGTAGGGAGTTCTAGCCACAGCAGATGATGTACGTGCATCTGTGAGCGTACGCTAGTAAGATCAGATGCTTGTACTGGAATTTAAATCAGTTTTTGCTATAGATGCCTATAAGGTCACTTCTGAAGTGCCAGCTGCAGCATTGAATTTTACATGTGCACATACATCTGTAGGCTTCCAAATTTCGAAAATTAGGCAATGTGATCATGGTGAAAAGTTTTAATGGAATTCATTTTACATAAGCATTTACTTTGCATTTTATTTCATTGGGCTGAAGTAGTCATACCTTTCAGGTAAATTGCGTTGACTGTTTTCTCTGGAATGAAATGCACGGAGTGTATGAATACGTTATTTTTTTCTAAAAGACATTTTCTGCTATTGCATCTGGTCCTGTTACACCAGTGCATTGATTTCCTTTGAAAAAAGTCAGATTCTCTTATGAAGATGGCTTTCCTTCAGAGATTGTAATTTTTTTCTTATCTTATTGCAACTAGTGTAGTTGCAAGATACATTCTGCATCGATAGTCTGCATTTTAGCATCTTCCTATTTCATTTCTCCTGCCAAGTTCTACACACCGTAAGAAAGGAAAGAGTTCTTGAAGTGAAAATGAGCATGTTCAGCGTTGGAGGCTTGTTAAATATAAAAAATTTTTTAGGAATTAAGAGATCTGTTTATGTATATATGTCCTGGTATTTGATAGATGTGTGTGTAGCAGCTCCAAGAAATCATGATATTGGATTGTAGTCCTACATTATTTTTTTTCTTGATAGCTCTCCTTCACTGTCCATGGCCCTTTCTTGCTTTATCGTGCTTATAACGGAGATTTTAAACTTTTAGGGGCTGAGTCTATATAGAAGAAATCTTGCCTAATATAATGCAGTGATAAAATTTCCTTTGACCTTTACAGAGAAGGAGTTTGCTGAATATCTATGTGTAAAGAGCCAAGCACTTTGCAAGTCATGAGAGGTTGGAAGCCAGAGACCCATATTTGAAATATTGATCCTTCTGGTTCAAATCCATGCTGTCTTCATTGCTTTTTTTTTTTTTTTTTTAAAAAAAAAACTGAGAGAGGCTGTGAATCTAGATAACTAATACCAGTTAGTTTCCCTTACTTAGTGATTTAAAGATTTAGCCCAGTGTTTTACTGCATCTGCAGTTGATGTCATCTGTTGCCTGGTTCTAAACCTAGAGAGGCCATCGCTGCCAGGCTCTTCCCCCTTGCTGAACAATAAGGGCTATGGTGAATTTGACTTCATCCCTGAATGCAGGGACTGTGTCATTGTAGGTGTAGGGTGTCTCATATCGAAAGTGCAGCCTTGATCCAAGCTATGAATGTTCTGCTTTTGTCCAGAGATTACCCTGAAATAGATCCCTGTAGCCTATGCTAATCATCTAACCCAAGACACAGCACTAGTTTATACATAAGCTTTTGCCTGCATCACAGAGACCTTGTACCTCAGAACAGCTTTTTAATGAGGAAACGTTGTTTATTCTAGTGTCCCCTCTCCTTGCTGTTCAGTAGCTGCCTGAGTGACAGCTAAATGCTTCTTTCTGCTCAGAAACTTTTGCATTTCCAATGCGCAACAAGTCTACACCCTGCAAACCTGAAAGGCAGCCTGCGTATCCAAGATGGTGGCAACCCGGTGTGCCCAACTGGCACCCCGTGGTGTGCAGCTAGCCCTTACCATGTCCTTGTTGCTGGGGTTCCCCGTTGTAGTCTGGGGGACCATAAGACTTTTTTCTTCCACAAAACACCTAGAAGCATCCGCTTCATATGATCAGATGTGACCAAAATTTACCTGCTCTTATCGTTTGCACCCATGATGAGCAAGTAAATCTGCAGTGGGCTAATATATTTCTCAGGTCCCATAAGAAGGGAGCCCAGGATGCTCAAGCATTTTGGTGACATGGTGGGCTGTGTGCCCATGTATTTGTCTGGGTCACAGAGGACAGATGTGTGTTGGATCACGTGTGGCCTCCCAGGACAGATATATATTGATCAAACATGATCTCAGGGGACAGCTGGGTATCGATCACCCACCTGATTGGCATGAGAAAGGCAGAACCAAAGGCTGTAGCCCTCAAGTGTTTCTGCACAAGGCTGTGCCTTGTCCTCGTGGGAAAATCTGTCATTGCTGCTGTAAAATAATAGAGATCAATCCACTAAACCCCTCTTACGCTCTGAATTTCTTTTGCAGCATCCTCTCACAATGATAATGTTATTCAACGGGGATCTCTACAGCCTCCTGAATTTCCTCAGTTTTGCCAGGTGGCTTTTTATTGGACTAGTAGTTGCTGGGTTGATTTATCTCAGATATAAACGTCCTGATATGCCTCGTCCTTTCAAGGTAACCTCCGCTCTCTACTGTTTTACATGAATCCTTCTCCCTCCTATCTCTCATGCAGTCAGGCAGTAAAGGAGCATTTTCTGAGGCAGAAAGCTAACAGGCAGAAAAACAGAGTTAACAGAAAATAGTCTTTTGCATTGAAAGGTCTCCAAGTGTTTTCCTGCAAGCTCCCCAGCACTATCCCAGCTGTGGGGATAAAGATAATTCTTGCCCCATTCCCTGGTGCCTGGAGGGCAGCGGCTGCAGCTGCTGTGCCAAAGTGAAGGTGTTTGCTCGGTTTTGCCAGTCTGTCGCGTCGAGGCAGTGTGATGCAAGCTGTGTGAAAATACCTCTGGTCCTGTGTAGTCGCATAGGGTTCGAACTGCAAATATTGGGGTTACATGTGCCAACCTGATTTTCAGCCACTCCTCTATTTGTTGTCTTCTTTGATAAAAGCCTGAATGATTTTGCTACCGGAATTGATGTCAGGTTTAAGCATTAATGTTAAACATTTATTTCATTGCCTATCCGATACTGAATATACTGATTTGATGTGCAAATAAGTTAGTAGTGCCATTATTTGGGATTTGTAAGGGATCTGCAGGCACAGTTATAGTGAACCCAAAAAGAAAACGCTAGTAGTCTCACCCATTGAACAGTAGTTGTTTTGGCCTCGGTTCTGCCACTCTTCTTGCTTATTTTAAGTAACATCTTACAAAGTAAGTTGTCCTATTGTGTAGCCAGAAAGATAAGGTCCATCATGAAGGAGAAAAAAAAAAGAGGGATCTATCCCTATTTGTATATTGCCAAGAAGCTTATTTTGTGAAAAACTAAGAATGTGCACTGTTGCATTCTCGTAGGTATATCTGTAAATAAGAAGGTCAACAGCACAACCTGTTTTGCTTTGATTAAAAAAAAAAAGTGCTTTGAGAGTGCACAAAAGAGGAACAGTAATGCTTCAAGGCATGAAAGGAAGAGAATAATCTCCAAGGAATTCTCTGCTCTGCGTTACAGCAAACATCTCGCAAGCCGTGCCTGTAGGCGTTTCCTTCAGAGAAGTGCTAATGTAATGATTGTAGTGGCATTCTTAAAAATTGAAAGAATTAGTTTGATATTGTTATTTTTTTTGTACTTTCAACAGTGACACTGATAATGCTATCAGTCATACAGTCAGAAAGTGCTTTTTCAGTAGCTATCAGTTGCATAATGCTATCAAATATCTTTATCACCAGATAAATTGGTCTTTAATTTGCTCTCTTCCTGCCGGATTTTGATTTTTACCTTAGGAAGAAAATCAATATGTTCTTAATAGTTTTAAAAGGTGAGTTGAGCTCCTGGTCGTGTTTTAAAATGTTTTCTAATAGGTAATTATCAAAGAGGAAATCTTTACTGCAGTTGGTGCTGCTTACTTATCTACTGGGGGATTAGAGAAAGGACTTTCGCAATGTAACTTATTTACGGCCTTTATGTTTGAAAGGACGTAAAACACTGTGGTGTTTTAGTGTGTAATTAAACGACTTTGGTGCTCGCTGCATAGCTTGGTTTCTGCAGCCACTGACACTTTGCGTGTTCTAGATACTCATATTTCTCCAGAACTATCCTGTACTGCTGGGTTTTGTCCAATTTACATTTCACGGAACATTAAGCACTATAGTCATTCAATAGCAAGGTCAATGTAAAGTAATGTTTCTTTGTGTGGTTATGTTTCAGGTGCCTCTATTTATTCCCGCGTTGTTTTCCTTCACCTGCCTCTTCATGGTTGCACTGTCACTTTACTCTGATCCAGTGAACACGGGGATTGGATTTGCAATAACCCTGACTGGAGTTCCCGCCTACTACCTCTTTATTGTATGGGACAATAAGCCAAAGTGGTTCAGAAAGCTCCTAGGTAAGTCCCGGTGGGACTCTCCTCCTTGGTGCTGACTCTGGGAATTTCTCAGGGCTCTCCATGTTGTGAAACCCTGCTGATCGATCCTCTCAGCTGCTCTGAACTGGAGATGACAATGCACGTTTCTTTTCGGCACATGCTACAGCATTGCTCTGCTGGTTACAATCAATGTCCGCTAGTTAACGAGTTATGTTTACAGTAAGCCTGTCTTCAGCTGGTGATTGACTTTAAATGACTGGATACTTCTCCCCCTGCCCGCTTCTCCCCTCTCTCCCCTACAAACATCTGATTCCTTTTAAATCACCCATCTCCCTACCCTGGCCCTTGGCCCACACTAGTAGAGAAAGTATTTCACTCCTAGGAGAATCGGTTTGGCAGCTTAAACATCACAGTTGTGATGACAGGATGGGCTCAGTGGTCCCTGCTGAGGCCACACATCTCTGGAGTATTCGGAATGGGACAGGCTCCATCGGGCATGGTATGGGGATACAGTCCTTAGTGGTTGCTCCCAACAAAATGATAGCAAAATATACCGTGCCTGACACACCTCTGTGGAAATTGTTTCTGTGCTTCATGAAAGATGACTTCCGAAGGACTTAGCTGTAGTATTTCACACCTGAAATACACTGAGAATCATTTTTATACCATTTCTGAAAGTTTTTGAAACCATTTGTGGAAGTTCTGATGTATTGGAGAAGGGTTATTTGGAGCATTTAAATTAGAAGTCAGTAACATTTATTGCAGCTCCCCATTCTTCTCTTTTTTGTTACTGAGTATGATAGGAGGTTTCCAAAATGGAGGTAATTTTCATAACATGAAACAATAATGTAGGCAAAATATTGGAGGAATTATGGATAATTTATTAAACAAAACTGAAAGAAAATCTGCTTCAAAAGAAAAACGCAACCCATTAAATTTTTTCAGCTAAAAATAGCCTATTTGTGTAGGTGCTGAGTCAAAAATACATATTGTCTTCTGTGCTTTCGTCTTAAGGGATGATTTAAAATGAGCTGCTCACAACCAAAGAATAGGGCTTTTATATGTATGCTATTATACTACAGCTTTTCATATGTATTTTCTCTATATAAATACAGATTATATAGTTATGTCTGTTGTAGAATCTATGAATTTCCCTCTCAATTCATGCTGGGAAGTCCATGGACAACAGGGCAGAAAGTATTTACAGAAAAGGATATTATCTTGAGGCTAGGACACTCTGGTCTGCTTAATTTTATATCCATAAAGTTATAAATTACTTGCAATGTCCTGGGAATGGGTAGAAAGCTCCAGTGCAAATGAAAACAGTTGTATGCAAAAAGACATTCTATTAAATAGTTGGTTTTCCATCTGTTTATAATTTATCAGCCTTGACATTTAGGGACTAGGAAATTTTCCGTTATCAAACTCAGGAGAGTTTTGGCATTTTCTGTGAGGTCTCAGAGGTTTTGGAATTCAGTTACTTGAATCTCTGGCCACAGGATGCCAGTGTTGAACCACATTACTTGGGTGAGAGAAAAAATATTCTCTTTAAGGTAGACTGGGTAGATGTGAAGCTTTTTCTGCCAGCTGTGACAATGAAGGTGAATCTTCTAGCTGTTTAGATAACACAAAATTTCTCCTCCTAGAAGGAAAGCCTGGTGCCTATGTAATACCTACGATGGACACAGTGTACTGGCGCAGAGGGGACAGCAGGAAACCCCAGTCACTGGGTGAAACAGCTTGTTTGCTTTGTAATTGCTATTCCCAAAATAGCAACAGTAATGATGGAAAACTGATGCTGACAGTTTTGGGGTGGAGCAGAGTGGAGATTTACTTGTTAAATAAAAAGATGATTTCTTTTTTTTCTCCCCCTCAGAAGAAGCAATAAACCTTCTGTGTGGAGTCATTAAGCTGGCATTATTTTGTGAGTGTTAAGGGAGCTCCGTTGTATAACCTGAGAGCATTTTTCAAAGGCGTTGATTGAGGATAAATTCACTTAAGGTACCTCTGTGAGATACAGAAAAGAAAATTCATTGGACAGCTGCAAGCTTTACATTCTAACCTTGAAACAATATGCATTAGGTGTTCATAGGCATGAAAGAGTGATTCCAGACACGAGGTAAATGGACAACATGAGAAAAGGTGACTGTCATTTAAGATTTTTGCCAGATTAACTGGGCAATGTTCTTTGAGGAGATAACTGATTTTTCTAGACAAAGGAGAACGTGATAGATCCAATCTGCTTAGACTTCAGCAAAGCATTGCGTGGAGTAACACAGGGGAATCAAACCTGTTAGTCTGAACATTGTGTCGTGCTAACAAGACTCTTCCCAGGCTGCTTCTTCCTCTGCGCAGCCCAGCGCGAGAACAGAGCGGTGTGGGGCTCTCGTTACCCATTTGCAAAGTCACCTTCTTGGGGAACTTGACTTGTTCAGCTCCTCAGGCGTGCTTTGGAGATGAGAGATGCCTTCTGCTCGTAAACCCTACGTGGAACACGTGCTACTTGAGTAAAGGGCAGCACTGGTGCAAAAGCACACGAGTACAGAACAGCCCCATATAAAATTAGACTGGATGTTCAGAATAGGTGTTGTAAGGATCAGAGGAGAGGGATGTTGAACAGCCAGAATGAGTAGTGGGATAAAAGACCCAGCCTGAAGACAACTACGTTTATGAAAGGGGTTTCAGATTGATTCCGGTAGCAGAGCCCTCAAATGGATTACCCAAGAAATCCTCTCCAAGGCTGAACGTCTTTGTTTTGTATGTTTTGACTCTGCTTAATGGCATTTACGTTGCCCATTCTCCTTACCAAGGTGCTGCATTGAACAAAAGGTAACTTCACAGTTTGTGGGGTTAATAGGGCCTGGTGATATTTTGCAGCGAGAATAACATTTTGTTCTCTCCTTTTTCAAAGAAATTTTGCTGTAGCACCAGATGTGCTGGGACAAATCATTTTCAGCTAGCACAGACTTCATTTGACCTCCGCTTTCTTGCTTTTTGTAGAACTAATGTGAAAATGAAAAAAGTCAAGCCCAGCAAATCCTACGAAGCAGATCAACGCTTCCATTTGGGCTTCCTCAGTCGAAAACCCAACCTTAGGCTCATATTCAAAACATCTATTTCTTTACAGTAGATTGAATTGAAAGGAGCTTAACAGTTGAATCCTGCTTTCCTTGTAGCCTGAGCCCATGCTGGAAAAGAGATCTGCTTATATAACAAAATGTCTCTTCTAGGGTTATTTACAAACACCCCAGGATGACACTTGCTCACTCAGGACAGAGTGTTATACGCTCAGTTTGCTTCTTTTTGTTGAGTTTGTGATGTTGGGATCTGCAGGAAATCATCTCAGCATTTTCCTGTTGCAGATTTCATGTCCGGTCTTATATGTATGCAGTAGATTACTGCTTGCTTTCCTCACCTGAGCTTTATGTGGTGCTTATATAGATACCAGGTCTCAGTTTTTTATAAAAGTTGTCCACTGGGACCTGTTTACAGTGAATTCTCCTCTTGAAAGGGAAAATTAAGGTTTAAATTTTTTCCGGTTTGGGGGTGGGGGGAAGTCATCTTTACTGTCATGGTACATTAAGTTGTCTTGTTACAAACATGAAGCTAGTCCTGTCACTCCAGGTACTGCTCAAGGCAGACGATACAGAGATACTGATCTGAGACAGATTGGAACGTATTTTTTGGGGGAAAATACTCCTTATACTGTCTTATCCTGAGTATATTGCAACCAAAAACCCAAGCAAGCACCCTAGCTCCCCCAACTTGTCTGATTACTCTTCCATGGCTTCATGCCAGCACAGAGCAAAACTACCCTGTGGAAATGGAAGAGTGGCAGCTGTCTCCTGCCTCAGCGAGGGCAAGGGCTTGCTGCAAGTGGCTCTTGTCGAACAGGGTATTAAAATCACAGCCGGCTCTCGAGATGCTCAGGCTTTCCCCCTGCTGCCGTGCCCTTTTCCGAGAGCTGCTACACCATAGCTCAGCTTGACAGAAAGTCTGTTTTTCTTCTTCTTCCTTTGCTCAACCTCAAACCTGGAAGGAGTGGGATGGCAGGGGCAAAGCCCCGCTGGCTTTCCTGCTGCTGACTTTCCTCCTGCCCTTCACCCCGGCCATGTTCAGCCCCGTTCTGAAGTCCCCGCTGTGGGTAGGGGAGGGAGATGGGAGGAAAAAGCAGTCCCTGTTGACTCCCAGCCTCTCTGACCCCATCAGTTTACAGTCTAAGGGCAACCTGGCTTTGCACTGAACCAGTGACCTCCAGAGAGAAGAGCAAAAGACAGCAGAGCCTGCCTTAGACAGGAGAGCAGGAAAGCAGTTTCGGTGCATATCCTCTGTGAGTTGCACTGTTTTACCCTCCTCGCTTTACACCTCCTGGTGTAAACGCCGACACACCGTGCTAGACAAGGAAAATCAGAACTTTCTCTTACTACAACTCCTGCTTGTTTAAAATGGGTGAAAAAAAAAAAAGTGAGAAAGGAGTGGTAAGAGAATGCTCTTCTGCTATTCTCTATGTAAATTAACTGTGCCATTTATGAATCAGTACTGTAAAAAGAAAACCAGCAAAACTGTCAGAAGGAAATAAACGTCGAGAGTGACATAAAGACAACGTGAAGTTGCTTTGGATGTGTGACGTTCTTAGACCTGTGAAGCTTTGTAATCAGTTTCCTTTCATTTTAATCTTTTTTTCTTTTTTGCTTAGGCAGGTCCTGGCACAGCTGAATTAACTCGTTTGAACTCTTTCAGACTTTTATTTCAGCTTGCAACTTTGTTAAAACTAAGCAGTTGTGCAGAGTAGTTGTGCCTTAAAATGCATGCAGACCTTTATTGAACAGGTTTATACCTCCATACCCTTCCATTGTTATTGTCTATGTATAGCCTTGGATCAGAGGCAAAGAAAACATAGTTTAAAAGAAAAAAAAATCGAATCAGACATTTAAATGATACATGCACCTGGTGTACATGACAGCTGTGAACCGTATGTGCAAGTAGGCTGTATAGCAGCTAAGATAATTTTCCTGGCTGCTTCTGCCTTCCCTCTCCCCACCAAAATTTCCCACATTTTTTTCTTTTACCTTTGCAGACAGGGTAACCTTAACGTTGCAAATCCTCTTGGAAGTTGTCCCACCAGAGGAAGACCAGAAATCATGATCTTCGTGCACAGCTTTTGGCTTGGTGTTTCATTTCAACCTGAGGAAGAGGGTAGGGAGCTTTCTCCCCCTACCTAATGTTCTGCAAACTGGAGGAACAAGTCACAGCTGAGATGGATACCGAGCGAGTCACTTACCAGAACTGTATTTTATGATGTTACAAAATTTTTTTTAATGTAAAAAGCAAGAACTTGTGCTATGAGGGGACTCATCTCTTCACTATTTCTTTTGTTCCAGTGTCATATTTTAACAAATCGTAGGTTCATCAGGCTAGGATTTTGATTGAATCGTCGCTGAAAATAGGTTTAAGCAACGTGTAAGTAATAGTTGGGTGTACTGTGAAGAACGTATCCTGCTTGCTGTCTCTGAAGAACCAGACTGTCACCAGAGGAAGGGTGAGATAAAGCTGCTGAGTTTCACTTATGAATGTTCTTTCCGTCACTCCGTTTGGCAGATGGATTTGACTTCCTTTGGCTCGCTGGGAGCACTGGCACACCGATGCAGAAGCACAGCAGTTTCCACACCTTTGTGGTGGCAAGTTCAAGGTTTCTTCCTTCCAGAGCTGTTATACTATAGCCCATAGGAACATCTTCTGAGAATTAACACTTCTGTCAGCGGGGCAGGAAGATTCCTAGCCTGGGGGCAGTAATTTTATACACGTTAAAGTTTCTACCAGTCTAGAAGCGATTACTGTTTTTTCCAGTGTTTTTTTGTTTTGTTTTTTTTTGTGTACGTATGTGTAGGAAATACAGCAGCTAAGTAATCACCTCCAAATGAGTGAAAACATTTGAATGTGACCTCTGTTGCTGCATGTTTCCCTGCCCATGGCAGGGGGGTTGGAACTAGATGATCTTTGAGGTCCCTTCCAACCCAAACCATTCTATGATTCTATGAATATTTTCTATATAGAAGCATATGGACCTGCAGTTACCAGTCAGGCAAACCTGATTTTAAAGTTTTATATCATTGTCAGTGGGCAGAAATGAATAATAGTCACTGGTGGGAATACTGTATAGACACAGCAATAAATGCAATACCTTTTTATGAATAAGGTATAAGGCAAGCTACAAGAGATTTGTTGATTTGAGTAGGATATGTGCCTAATCTGTGGGCTTTTCGTTCAAGCACACTCCAATTAACTGGGCTTTGAAACACCAAGGAACCAGGTGCTCTGCCAGTGTTGTCTTCCTGGTTTTATCTCAGCAGAAACAGAGAAAGACCATCAAAACTGATAAAATTAAATGAAATTCGTCTTCAGAATGATGCTGGAGGCAATGAGATTTGGCTCAAATATGATCTGAAGTTTTGCCTTATTTTTTAAGATTCTTGTAGATAAAGAAATTTTTTAATGCTTAGAAATTCAGTTTTATATTGTTAATTGAAGACTACTCAACCTTAAGATTAAGGTTTGTTATCTCTCTGTTAAGAATATAATGCTTAAATGTTGAATGCACTACTTTTTGAGCTGTTTGCTATCAGCAAGTCATATGTTTCATGAAAACTTTTATGGAACTAAGCAACATTATACTTCCTAAATTGGGAGAAAAGCACAACTAGTAGCCAGACCACTACAGTAAAGGGAGACTGTGTATTGTGTATGTGTTGTATAGATCCAGAACACTTACTGTTTTAAGGGTGTACAGTAAAATGTCTTAAATTTATACATGTTTTTCCTCCTTGTATTTCTATGGTGGAATTTCGTAGAAGTAGGGAAATAGGAGTAACTGATTATGTAGAAGAGCAGTAATTTAAGAAACAGAAAACACCTTGCAAACAATTTTTTGTTTAAATGTTTTCTGTTTACAGTAACTTGAAGTGTTATTTGAAACTTTTTTAGGTGAACGTTTTGAGAGAGATCTTTATGTTGACAGTGCATGTGTTTCATTAGTATTTACGTTGGGGTCAAAATTCTGCTTTTGAGGCCATCTCCTGCCATCCTAGTTCACCAGGGTTTGGCCTGTGTCATCGTGGAGCATCTTCAGAGTACCCAAACTGCGTTTCTCTCCGACAAAAATAAACTGCCTGGTGCCCTCCGGGAGCACACCTGACACACTCCTCGCTAATGGATGCTGAGCACATGGGATCCCACCAGAGCTAATCCAAAGCAAAACCTCCTGAACATTGGTAGTGTGGATGCCAGGTTTTCAGCACCGACTGTTTCATTCCACCTCTTCACTCCTATCATGCCATGTTACTTGAAAGTTTAAATGTACGCAGTGTTAACCTGTAGAAATAAACGGGCTCTGTAAATATAACTGACTGTTGCTTTATTTTCCTGCCGTGGACTTTAAAGTTTAGAAATGTTTCTGAAGCTTAATTCAATGGCCACATTTTACTAGGTTTACTTCATGTAAGGGGTTAATTTGTCCCAAGGGAAATCCTATGACTCAATGATTGTGAAGTTTTACATTTTAGGAAGAAAAAATAGATTACCTGCAAAATAAAAAACTATTTTGTTGAAAATGCACAGGAATTCTAATTTCAGGTTTAGTTTCTTTAGCATGTACAATCACAGTACAAAATATTGTAGCTGGGTTTCCACTGTGTTATGAAAGTCAGTATTAAGGACTTTTATTACACCTGGAAGTAAGGCATGTCCTCACAAACGGAGGAAAAGCAGGTTACAATTTTTTAAAAAAAAAAAATCGTTATTTTTTTAAGACTTTTTAAAAAGTGTTGTCTTCAGAGTCATAAAGGAAATTCTTCTAGAATAAAAGATAAACTATATATATAAATTTTTCTTATTAGGGCCTGAGGTGGTCAGTTCAATGAGACTACTTCTGTGGAGAACTTAAGTCTTAATTTTCCTTGATTTTTTTTCTTTCTTTTTTTTTTCTTGCCCTTTGCACCTTTTTATCAGCTGGACTCTGTCAAAACATTTCTTTCTTTTTGTTTAGATGAGTGCTGCTGTTTTTCTTCTTTGAACTTGTTGCTCTTCTGGGGTCTAGGCAGAAGGCAACAGAAATGAACATTTTACGTGAGTAGCAAATACTGTCGAGATTCAGTACACCACCTCTTAGAGAACCAGTTTGGCATTTGAAGCCTCCGAAGATGCTGACTTATCTTTGCACTTCGTGATCTCGACAGCTATGTGGCCTAAGGCATCATTTTATCAGAGGGGCATGGTTTGATTTCTGAAGCCTGCTCTCAGCTCTGCGTGGGCACGGCATGGCCGACCTTTTCTCTGGTGCCACGTGCTGCAGGTCTGTCCCTGCCATCCCCTCCCAGCCCAGGAGTCTGCCATGGATATCAAGGGGCTATCGGATGGGAGCCAGAGGGTCTCCTCTTCCTTCCCTACATCAGCAATACATTCCTTGTCTGGACCTAGGATTTTTACATTTCATTTCTCTTCCACTGGCTAATCTCCTTTTACACAGGAATCAAAGCAAGTGAAAGAGAATCTTTTTTTTTTTTTTAAACGAGTTGCCTGTGGTCTGATAAAATCTGAGATGTGTATGTCGTGTGAAATGCTCCCAGATCCGCCCTGTAGAGCTTTTCGTAGATATTGTGCCCTTTTTGCACTGTTGTACATGGACATTTTGGTACAAGATAAAATGCACCAAAGTCTTCGACGTGACAGGCAGCTGCAAAGTTTTAGGGATGCTTTTTATCACAACGGCGTGGTGTTTGCGAAGCAGTAGTGCTGACGCCGCCGATGGGCAGCACCTTTTTCTAGGGACACTGCAGCCTCCAGCTGTGGCTGAGGAGCAGAGATGCTTTAACGTGATGCCTGTCCCCAGCTCCTCGCCTTGTCAATCAGCTCCCAGGCTGCAGCACTGTGCCATGGAGGGTTTTAAGTTAACCTGCATTGATTTTGGTCTGCCTTAAAATACTGCGCCATCCGTCACCGTGTTTTAGGAGCTGGCACTGGAGCCTCTGCGCAGTGGAGAGAGCTCAGAGCTGTGGCTTCAGCAGCCAAACATTGAAATATCTCATAGGAGTGTGTTTATATATTCATTTGTGTATATACTGCCATAATGTGTGTCCAAGCTATATTTTTATGAGAAAACTTCTAAATACTTTTAGAAAAGCTATCCAAAATGAAGCAACTGTCATAACTCTTATGCCATGTTTTGAAATTTTTGTTACATTTTTCACTTTATACGAAAATTGTTGCTTATTTTTCTCTCACTTGTGTGTTTCAAAAGTTGTCTTTTAATGCTAGTGTACAGTAACAAAGGCATTTAATCTGATTTGATTTAAATATGCATTTGATTGACATCATAAACTAAGGGCCAAGCTGGCTCAGAGAAAGACAAGCCTGAGAAAACTAAGCTGCCCCAAGGTGTGATGCATACCATGCTAAGGCAGGTATTTAAGGCAGGTGAGATGAACTGATCTCTGGAATTGCTCATAGCCTTATTTTTCTTGAAGGAGGAGATGGGGTGACCAGTTCAGACATGCTTAACGTGTTAGACAGCTGAGCAGGAGTGAAATGAACCGTAAGTTACTGAAGCCAGTATAATGAAATTACTAAAAGCCCTTATGTTCTAAAGTGATTGGTACTGAGGATCAAAATTACCCCCTAAGAATTACTTATTTTCAATTCAAATTGCAATAGATATTTCTTTTGACTAGAACATGCTGCATTTTCCGGATTTTCCAATTCGGATTAAAACCAAACCAAAAAACTTTGCAAAGAAGTTCATCTGCCTTGTCTGTGAATGTATAAATAAAACTTTTAGGCTGAATGTACATGCTCCTGCTTCCTGATTTTCAGAAGAAAATCAGCTTTCAATTTAAGAATATTTTCCAAGTATTATTCTGAAGAAAAAGATAGAAGTTATCTATATCCACAAGGTAGGTAGCTAATTGTGTTGATGAAACAAGATGAAAAGGACTTTCCATAACATTCAGTACCTCCAGAATTTTTGGTTCAAGGATCCAGACAGATTTTAATCAACATAGGTCTTAGAAAAACAGATGTTGATCTTTCTTCGGGAGGAAGCAGATATTTTGTTTTTCCAAAATACGCTTCAAACATTTTATTTAATGACTAGC